TCAACGCTGCCATAATATTTACTTTGCATACAATCGCAAAACAGACTCATTAGTCTCATACCTGTATGCGATTATTTCGCGAATCACAGATGAGTATATGACCTTCCGGATCAACCTTTACTCCCTGAGGACGACAGAACATTCCTTCAACACTTCCCTCACTACCGTACACCTTCATTTCTGGAGTGTCACGTGAAGAAAGTACCGCCAAGCGATGATTGTTGAAGTCACTGCAAATACATTTGTAGGGGAAAAATGGTGATAATTGATTTTATAGAGTACGTTATGAGCAGTTGACCATCAGATAAGTAGCAAACGCCTCGCGGAGAGTCAAGATGTTTGTAGAAGAAGGCGGTGTCAAAGCCACATTTTCGAATAAACTGGCCATTTTCGTTGAAAATCTATAAATGGCATGCGTAAATCAAACAAAACCTAGACGAAGACAATTTCACTCACTTGTACGCGATGATTTCTCGTATCTGACACTGCTATATGGTTTTGACTATTTGTTGCCACTCCCCATGGATAATTAAACATTCCGATTGGTCTGCCTCTTTCACCAAATTTCAAGAGAAAGTTCCCATTTTCATCAAAAACTTGAATCCTGTGATTGTCCTTATCCGCCACGATTATGTTATTCTACAAAGGACAAGTAATTAAGTGCAGTCGATGTACTTGCTCGTCTAAATGCTCACTCTTGTATTGACGGTGATTCCAGCAGGGCGATCGAACTGTCCGGGGCGAGTTCCACCGCAACCAAATTTTGCAAGAAAACCACCATCACGGTCGAAAATCTATAAAATGGAAGCAATATTCACGTGTGGGTAAAGATGTGAAGATATTGATACAAACCTGGATGCGATTGTTGCTTCTGTCAGCTACCAAAACTCGGCCGCGTAAGTCAACACAGATTCCCCAAGGACGACAAAGTTCGCCATCGGCAGACCCTAAAAGTAATAACTATCACGATTCAACTTCTTGGCAAAGGTTGGATCGCGAAGCAGAAAAAACAACAGATTAACCTTCTTTTCCAAACGAGAACAGCTCTCCTTGTGCTGCAATTTCTGCATAATTTCGACCATGGCGTACCTCCACAGCCACTGGACAGCCGCTGAAGATAAGTGAGTCAGAAAGGTGAAGTGTGAGTATGAGGTTTTCAACAATTTTGAAATTTCTAAAACAATAGCTCAAACAACGACCATTTTTTAGATCCATACCTTACTTAGCAATGCAACAACTCTCGTAGTCAAATTACAACACTCTCACATGCTTTCTTTGGAGTTGAAACGGTAAGCC